AACATAACAAAATTGAAAAAAGTGAAGGGGGTCTGAATACTTTCCGAATGCACTGTATGCTTGATTACAAAAACATTTTTAGACCTATACCCCATAGAAATATTTTGGTAGGACCTGAAATGAGCGGTTTATGCTGGACAATGCTTCTGAGGTGCAGCTCTCCGCAGTAAAGAAATGGGCCAGAATTACTACACAGTCATGTGGAGAGACCAATTGTCAATTGTAGGACATATTTGGTTATTGCGGTTACTGCAACTAATAGTCATATGGTCAGTTACTGAATCCAAAATTCAATGTTGGATGCCATTGTTTATGATAATAAATGAAACAACCTAAGATATTGTTGGTCATTTAGACTCTCTTTATATATCAGTATGAACTCCATGAGGTTTCATTAACATTCAGTGGTAAAGTTTTGAAAATCCAAAAGAGGACAAATACTTTTTCAGAGAACTGTATGTGAATCGCTTTTTTTTTAGGTCATTGGGGTTTTTTAGATCTCTGCATGCATCTGCTTGTTTAAGGAGAGAAATTATACTTAAATTATTTGTACTCTTCCCCAAGATTTTGTTCTTTGCATGTATTCATCCTTATTCTTTGAAACAAAAACTAAATAATGAAATTCAAATTATGCACACCTAGAATATTGATTATGTGCCATAAAGTCATTGTTGACTTTTAGCGATCACATAGATGGATTTTTTCCATTTCAGTCTGCCCCTAACCTAGTCTTTCAGGCCTTCCAACAGTGAACCCATTGCCACTGTTACTGAGTCCATCCACCTTGCTGCTGGTCATCCTCTCCTCTTTCCTTTCACCTTTCCCAGCACTACAGCACACCTAGAATATAACTAATTCCAATTTGTGTATTAATCAGGGAAGTTAAAATTGGTTAATTAAAAATACAAACCACATGAAATTCACCAAATTCTCTTAAGTATGCATAGTAATGAAGTATATGGCCAGAGCTAGGCTATAAGGAAAACTAGCCTTTATTTCCACACAGAGACACTGATTCTAAATTGATATTATTGGAGCCTGAAAGAAAATGTTAAAATTTAGAAATCCATCCAGTCATTCTTTCCTAGCAGGGTATTTTATGCATTCCCCCAGACATGCTTAGTTACTATAACTTACAGGTTTGGTTTAAACTTTTGCAAATGTAGATGTTCTTCTAAGTATCCTGTTTTCTCTTCAATTATTAGTAACCTCATTTTATTTCAAGTTGTGTCTATAACCCAGTTCACCATTAAAGAAATTGATTACAAAATAATTGGAGTGCCAGCACCCTATCAGTGGTTGGCTGGTGCCCTCCTTCCCAAAATTGGACAGCCAATGTGAGATAACCTTTTTTTTTTGCTGTTCACAGAGTCCTTCCAACATAGTACACCATGTCTGCAACAGCCTTGGTAGTTTGTAAAGTTAAGCATAGAAGCTTTTTAAGCTTTTCTCCATTCTTCAATGATGGTTTTAAGAGCTAATATGGTATAATGGCTAAGATGTTGATCTAAGAGACCCAGGTTCAAATCCACCCCCATAGTAACTTGCTAGATAACTTTGTACAAGACTTTTCAGCCCTGGGTGTTGGGAAAAATTGGAGGAGGATATCCAAAGCATGCTGTCTGGAACTACTGAAAGAAATGTGGGCTGTAAATGTAGTAGATGAATAGTACTTCAGAATTCATACCTGGACTTGTGTTTTTATTAGTATGTATTTAATGAACATGTATTTTTAATAAACAGTTTTAATAGCCATACAATATCATTTCAGGTTTTCTGTGGCTGAATCTGATTGCAATTTGGCACTTGCCTTAAACAAAAATTACACAAAGGCTTATAGCAGAAGAGGGGCAGCTCGCTTTGTTTTGCAAAATTTTAAGGGTGCCAAAGAAGGTACACATGTCTTTGTCTGTTGTATAATGCATTCCCTTTTTTGAGTTGTGTTCTGCAAAACTTTTGATTTATAGTGTGTATTTGAGATGATCAGTACTACTTTCCATACATTACTGCTTCTCCTGTCTTAGCATAGAAGAGTTTGACCAGTATCAGTATTCGTACAGGCTGCCTAAAGAGTTTTCCTTTGTGTTATTATGGTAAATATCTATAGTATAAAAAACCCAATTTTTTTTAATTGTAAGCCACCCAGAGTCACCCTTTGGAGGAGATGGGTGGCATATAAATTTAATAATAAATAAATAAAATAAAAATACTAACATATATGCTTTATCTGATCTTTGTAGGAGACATTATTGGTTTAGTATCCATTATTGGATATTAAACATTCTAGTTACTTGTTACAATTATGTAGGTAGGTAGAAGGAAGATTAGGTTAATGAATTGTTAACATAAAATAAACCTTTTTCCTTCAAAATTTAAACAAATACATGCTAGAGTTTGTTTCTAATATAAACAATGTAATTATAATACTATTGAATAATAGACTATGTGTCAGGAATAATCTAGCTTATCTAGTTTGTATTTTTGCACTGAAGCATGTCATATAGCACTACTGGTACAAGAACTGAGCCCTATCTCTTTGAAGAAAGAAAGAGATAGGGCTCAGTTCTCATACCAGTAGTGCTATTTGAAAAAAGGATGGTCTATACAATCATAGTTTTTGAAAACTCTACCTTTATATCTTCATGCAGATTATGAAAAGGTTTTGGAATTAGATCCAAACAACTTTGAAGCAAAAAATGAACTTAGGAAAATTGAACAGGTAAATAACTTCAGGTTAATAAATTTGCCAATTGACCACGATTTTCTTTGTAGCTAAATATTTGAAATATTATGTATATTTTTATGTTAGGCTCTCTTGTCAAAAGAAAATTGCCAGCCTGAAGAAACAGATACCTTTAGAAAACTGGAAATTGCAGAAGAAGAATTGAAACAACTGGAGGAGGAGCAGCTGAAGCAAAAGGCTGTGGCAGAAAAAGATTTGGTAAACAGCAATGCAAGAATATTTTTCAGGCACATAAATTGGAATATTTTGCAGCCTAAGGAGTCATTTCTTGCCCAGTGGAAAAATGGCCAGGCATTTCATGGGATACACTCTCATAATTGATTACTACATTTGCCCCATATTGTTAAACTGATTTTTTCTGTGCTTGTGTTGCATGTCAATAATTTGGCCCAGATAACACATTACTTATACCTGGCTTAAGTCATCTCAGTGTGGTGCCTTCTAGATAATTTAGCTTATAACTCCAGCTGTCATGCTAACTGTGGTTTAGGACAGTTGTAGTCCAGAACAGCTGGAGAAATCATGTTGCTTACTGCCTGATACCAAGCATACAGAATTCTATATAGCTATCTGAAAATTATCCCTGTGATCAATTCTTCCTGCTCGACTTCTTGCAAATAAAATTATTGAGAAAAGTGTTATGTTTATTATTATATGTATGCATACATTTAGATTGCCAATAATTATTTTTCTTTCTTTTTCCAAATATGACAGGGTAATGGGTATTTCAAAGAAGGCAAATATGAAATAGCAATAGAATGCTACACACGTGGAATAGCAGCAGATGGCAGCAATGCACTCCTTCCAGCAAATAGAGCTATGGCCTATCTAAAAATTCAAAAGTGAGTTGTGTGAATTTACCACTTCTTATCTATGCATTTTGATGAAATTCAGTTTTAAATGCTTACTGGTTTTTATTAAACCTAGTACTTATTTTATTGTGACATTGAGAATGCTTAACTTAGAAGTTCTAGACCAATATTTCTCACATGTATTCTAGATGTCTGTAACTCAGCAAATGTACATGCTTCATTAGTGGTGTTAATTCAGTTCAGTCAAAGTTGTGTATTGATTTTGCCTTTAGTCTTTATTTTTTATTAACATTCACAAAGCACAACTAATAAAAAATGAGATTCTTGGGATCCTAACAAGAATTATTTCATTGCTTTTAGTATATATATCTTACTAGTATACTAACTAGAAGATTTTTTTTTAAGTATCTAAATAATAAACACACATTAGTCCTGCCCTAACTGATCTACTGAGATGATTTTACCTACATTCTAGTATATACTTTTCTTTCATACCTAAGATATAAATATGAAAACCTTGATTTGAATAGGTAAGAGTTACTGTAGGCTTTAAGGACCCCAAACCATATTAAATTATTATGCTGTAATAAGTATTTTTTTTTAAAACAAACAATTCTTAACAATAAGATATGAAGAAGCGGAGGAAGATTGCACTCAAGCTGTATTACTTGATTCTTCATATTCTAAAGCCTACGCCAGAAGAGGCACAGCTAGAGCTGCCCTGGGAAAACTGAAAGAAGCTATGCAAGGTGGGATTGTGAATGAAAGTGTGCGTGTTTGATGTTGTCTCTTTCTCTGTCCGACTCTTTCAAGGAAGCAGCTCCAATCCAACAATAGTATTTTGATATTCAAAATGCTGTGATTTTAAAGCTGTTTTATATATAGTAGTATACATTTTAGTGTTTTATGAGCCAACATTTTTTGTTGTTGTTTTTCAGCAACTAAGAATTAAGGAACAGATTATGCTTCTTTTAAGAAAATCCTATACATTTTAATCAGAGAAATGCTTTGAAAGTCCTGTTGGAATCAGTGAAACTGCCAAGTGCTTACCTTTGATAGCTGTAACTCTTCAGTTGTAAATAAACATGTATATTGGAAGAAATGCCTTTGGATTACTTGCATCTTTCATATAAAATATATTGAAAGCCTAAACTCTTTTTTTGGTGGGGTGGGGGGTATTTATATGCCTTTGTTAGATTTTGAAACTGTCTTGAAGCTAGAACCTGGAAATAAGCAAGCGATAAACGAAGTAACAAAGCTTAAAAATGTAAGTGTGTTTATGCTTATGTATTTTAATACTTCCTTGCAACAGCAATAAAATGTTTTTAATCTGGATATTTTGTGGGTATTAACCTCTTTATATTTCAATGGATATCTGACTAATCTTTCTTTTAAGGAGTTAATCGCAAAAGGTTTTTTGTCAGACACGGAATATTCTGGACTACCGCAGAATGAATCAGAAATACAAAATCTGGTAAAACCCATTGATAAACCCTTACATCTAAGATCAACTGTAAGTATTGATGATGAAAAGATACGAGTTTTTAAATCTTCCTAGTAAGCACTTTTTTTTTTTTAGATTTTTATCCCACTTTTTTTTTCATATACAACTCAAGGTGACAAACATACCAATACTCTTTCCTCCTCCTATTTTCCCCACAACAATCCTTTGAGGTGAGTTGGGCTGAGAGAGTGACTGGTCCAGAGTCACCCAGCCAGTTTTTCATGCCTAAGGTGGGACTAGAACTAACAGTCTCCTGCTTTCTAGGCCAACACCTTCTTAACCACTATACCAAACTGGCTCTTATTTTTTTAAATCTTTTTTCATGCAGTATTTCTGCAATTTGGCTTAACAGCCCAAGTTATATGTTTCTGACTCCTCTCCTGTCTCTCTCATGCATTTACCAGCAACCAAACACTTCAGTTGTATATAATAATGAGGCGTACAAGGGAATAGTGGACTCAGCGGGTAACAGACAGAATGCTTCTTGTATTAAAACTGAATAAATAACCCAAGATTCAATTTCACTTATCCAGTTTCATGAATTAAAAAAGTTAATTGCAAATCTTGGGCTTCAAGAAAGCAGTCTTAACATTCTTGGGTTTGGGATGAGGGTGGGTCATGAAAATCCACAGATGGGCAATACATTTATTAGAACTAAACAAAATGATGCAAAAGAGTGTGCAAGCTTTTGAATTACCTAAAGTTCTTCATCAGGCAAGATGTTTCATGAATGGGAAGGAAAAGAAATGAAAAATTAAAAATGAGTCACAATATTCAAGCCATAAAGTCTGCAGTTCAAAATAACAATATCAAGTTTGTGGACTCAGTGCAATCTACATTGGAGATTGCTGCACTGGGTAACAGATTGCACTCAGTTATTGGGAACAAAGCAAATGGTTGCTAGCTGATTTTAAAACCATAATTGCTAGTCCTCACATATTGGCAAGTCAGGAATTGGCCAAGACAAAAAAGAAGAAGAAGAAGAAGAAATTCTAGTTCATTCTGTCTCCTGCCATTCTTTATCTCAGTGTCCTTTTGCACTTGAATTATTTGAATATAATGATAAACTACCATTTTAGTGTTGTATTCAAGTCATGAAAAATCAGATACAAAAGTACAATTAACTATTTGATTGGAGTTAAATTGCAGTTATTTTGTATTCTGCTTTCCACTTTTGTGGTGAGATTGATAGATAGGAGGCAAAATTTCCCTTGGGATATTTCTGTTGAAGAGATAGACAAAATATTCTTTGTTTTCGTTGAGACAGATATAGTTATTCTTTAGAAATGTTGCTCATCTGTATGTAAAAGTGTGCCTCTATAATAATTAATTCATTGCATGGTTGTTTTTGTTTATTTAGAAACCTTTAAGAAGAATAAACATTGAGGAAGTCAGTAATGATATGCTAAGTGCAAATTTGATGGCCACCAGAGAGCCTGAGCCTATTCAATCTGTTTTTGCAAACCCAAATGCAACACAGGAATTAGTATCTGCAAAGAATCAAAGCAAGAATTTCTCTTCTCCATCTGGTACTCCCAAAGCAAAGCTGCTGAAAATAGAAGAAATCGGTGATGCTTTGTTGACTGAGTAAGCATATATTTTTTAGAATGGAATATTATCAGTTCCATATGTTCAAAGGCTTTATAAAATTGAAATAAATATCCTACGCATGGATTTGTACCAATAGCATATTGTGACTTTCTTACTACTTTTTACAATCCTTTAAAATTATACATGGGTTTAAGGATCTCTTTCAGTGTTACAACTGCTTGTTTGCATACTGTTTTAGTGTTTGTTAAGCTAAATTACACAAGGAAATTTTGTGTAATTTGTTACACAAATGCAGAGACAATTTAAAGTTTTCATTATTTCAGAGATTATAATGTACTTTTGATAAAAATATATTTGTAGTTAAATGTACAGTTCTTGAAAATAACCTCGAAATTGAATTGATAGACAAATTATAGTAGAGGAAAAGACAAGACTGCAATCATTGTTGAGTGCCTTTGTACGTTAGACATTTTTTTAAAAATAAAAGAAAGCTCTTTTCTTATAGTGGAAAAGAACACCATAGTAATCGTTTAACAATTGTAAGGAGATTTAAAATGCATCTAAGTTCATGTTATTTAATCTTACATTGTGCTTCTTTTCCCATTATACAGTATATTTCTTTTTATTTTTCTTTAAGTTTTGATGTATGGGTGCAGGGGATATGCAGCAAATGCACCCCTGTAATAAATCCTAGGTGTGGGGAACCAGTCGCTATTGGTATATCAATACCAACTATAACATCTTAATGTTGGGTGAGATTTGCTGTGATGTTCCATTCAGTGAAATGCCTCCAGAGGTCTAGTTGCAGTAAGACATGGTACCCTGAACTCTAAACAGGATGTTGTATATGCTTCCTAAAGCAAAGTATTTATCCAAACAGAAAAGTCCCTATTCCCTGTCTTCATGTTTTTAGATCTATCACCACGAACACTGTGAACGAGAAACCATCGCTTCAGTCCTGTGCTATAAAAAAGCAAGACAAGATAGAAAACTACGTTCTTCCTTCTGTGTCTGAATTTTCTGTACCTCCAGTCCCTGTGAATTCTTTCCAACTTGAATCAGATTTCAGAAAATTAAAAGGTTACCCTGATCAGTTGTACACATATTTGAAGGTAAGATAACTGATTCTTTGTGGCCACTATTCAGTTTCTACCAGATTTGAGCTTCGTAGCCAGTTTGGTGTAGCGGTTGAGGCATCAGGCTAGAGACCGGGAGTCCTGCCTTAGGCATTCACTTAGCTGGTTGATCTTGGGCCAGTCAGTGGAAGCAGGCAAGGGCCAAACACTTCTGAAATCTCGCCGAGAAAACTGCAGGGACTCATCCAGGCAGTTGCCAGGAGTCAAGACTGATTCAAATGAATTAAAAACATTTTTTTGATCTTTCTAAGTATAGTTTAATGGTGTGAGCACTAGTAGCATTTTTGAGATAAAATTACTATATTCTGTTTTATTTATACTTTATTTTTTGTGTTGTTCTTGAATTGTAGAATTATTGGGATTCTACTCTTAGAAGGTAGAATGCTTCATATTAAATCCTTTATAACATAAAGCAAGTTTATTGCACCAGTAAGTGTCCAATTCTATCTCATAGGCTACAGAGATAGTTACAGTCTATAAAGTCAGTTTCATGGAGTCCATTTTGGAGAGCCCTGTGTTGTCTTCTCTTCTAGCTGGGAGAAATGGGGGACTGTGCAGTTCTCCAGTGGCTTGAGATTCTTATTTTTATTACCTAGCCCCTATTCCTGAATTATTTTAGGGCCTTTACTTGGGTTCAGACACTCCAATTCCTACAGTAACACCTCAGTCAAATAAATTCCCTCAGCCTATGAAGCTGCTGTGTGTATGCTTGGAACTGAAACTTGAAACTTTTGTATTAAAACTACTGCGATGGATCTAAGTGATAATTAAGTTTCACACATGCATACTCAAAGCAAGTTCCATTTATTAGAGAACTCAGGCTGAGGGGTAGCAAAAAATAAAACTGATTATTTCTCTTCAACTCAGCTGCAGTTGTTTATTCGTGAAATTTAAACCCTGCCTCAATTCATTTGGACTCTAGGCAGATTACAGTGTATATAATAATAGCATTACAATAATATAAAAATAAACAATAAATATATACAATTTTGCATGCTTACTTTGTTTTGCTGATATGTGTTGTCTATATGCATGCCTATCTTGAAGTCCAATTAATGAAGAAACATATATAAATTCCATGTGCAAGTTGAAAGAGGCCTTCCAATATGCAGATTCACATATACACTGTCCTATGATTTTGATTATCCTACATGCAAGACATCTGTTTTCCTGTCTCAGAATTATTAAATTGCAATCAGTGCAACAATTTTACAGTCTTTTTTGAATGTTACATCTTTAGGAAATCTTTTATTTATTAGGTTCTTTCCATCTTCTCCCAAATAACCCATGATAATGTGCATACTTGAAACTCCTTTTGATCCTAGCAGCTATGCAACATTCATTAGCTTGAAAAATGGTTATTCATCCATACTCACCTAAGGTGAACTTTAGGTCTGAATGTCAGCCTTTTGCGGTAGGCCAAGTCAAGAAAAAGACATTGCAGAAATTCCAGGAATGCAATTTTATTATTGTAAGTTGTAATAAGAGAATCTTGAAAGCCCATCCAAGTTAATTAATAGTAAACTGCTATAGTTTGAATGCTACTTGTTATAACAAATTCTGTTTGAATTTTCTTTTAGTAGGCATTGTGTAAGAATATGAATTCCATTAGTATTAAATATCTACTCTGATTTTTATATATTCCTTTTTTTGTTGTTGTTCTAAAGCAAATTGATCCTTCTCTATATCCTAATCTCTTTCAAAAATCATTGGATCCAGATGTTTTTTGCCAAATCTTGAAAATTCTACAGGATTTTTATACTAAGTAAGTTTAAAGCTATGTTCTTAGACTAATTTCCTATTGTGCTTTTTGGTTGCATTGTGCCTCTAGCTGATAACCAGTTTTAATATGTTCTGCAGCATAATTCTTGAGACAAATTTGTTCTGTCTGATACTAACAATATGCCAATGTCTCAAATTCATACTGTTTGGATAATAAGCAACAGATATAATAAATTATTAAGCAATTTAAGATGTTTTTAAAAAGCAGGGGTAACAACAGCAAAACTATTTCCTGGAGTTGAAACACTTCAGTGTGACTTTTACAGTTCTTCGATAGAAATCCAGAAATGACCCATAAGTACAGTTGCCATGGCAATTGTTTCACATTCACATCTGACAAGATTGCATCCCAGAGACACTCAGAGCCTCTGAATAACATGTTAAAGTAAAAAATGAAAGCATTCCCAGACTTGTAACTAAGGGAAAGAGCTCATTTCATCTCACTTTTGTGCTATGTTTCAGAGCATTCTGAATATCTAGAAAGCATAAGATTTTACCCAAATAGTGCTCTGGAATGGAGCATTCACTGCCTCTTGAAAGATGTTGTAAAGGTCTTCCCTTCCATCAAGTTCTCTGTGCATGTTGGAAAATTCAACAGAGGCAGACTGGTGACCTTCATTAATTGTAGCTTACCAAGGCCAGCCAAACTATTAATATCCTTTTTCATTTGAGATGCCAAAAATTTAAACTTTGGTAATATGTAAGAGAATAATTATGCTACATGAGCTTTTACCACTATCTTTGGGAAAGGGGTGGTTGCTTTTAAGAGGAAGTTGAATATATTTAGTGTTGTTTAGTAACAACTTGCAATTATGTTGCATACCTGTATACAAAAGGAGAAAAAGTTTGGTGTGAACAAGAAATAAAGATTAGATGACTATTTATTTAATATAAATAGAATGTTTCCATTATCGTGGATCTGTAATCTGGAACAGAAATTTTAGTAGTTGTGCTACTGCGAATACAGTGGAATATTTGCAGTTTAAAGACAACATCAGGACATTCTTTTATTCAAATAATTGCAACTTGGGGAATGCATAAGCTAACAGAAAATTCATCAGTGTGCTTTTGCTTTTCAGGATATGACTTTATTTTTATCTTAGCAACAATTATAAATTAGATTTGTAGCTACTTTTAGAGTATGCAACTGTATGTATTCTGTGAATATTTTCAAATATGCATTCTATTTTTCATTTTTTAGCCAATATTGATTGTGCTTTGTTTATGCCATGAATATTCCCAAATAAAAGTATTTATAGGTATGCATTAATGTCTTATCTTACAAGGAAAGAAGAGCCTTTACTTGTCCTTGAAATTCTACACAAATTATCAGAATCCAAAAGATTTGATATGGCAGTTATGTTTATGTCAGAGTCAGAAAAAAAAAGTAAGTAAAACACATTCCTGGGTTGTTATTAAAATCTACTGGCTTGGTAGTTTAGAGATTAGTATAACTATAGTTAGCATGTCCCAGCTACATTAAAATCATTTATTATTACATTTTTTCCATAGAAAGCTCTCCCTTCTGTCCCTGAAGAAATTTTGAAAATAATTTTTCAAAATTTTTCAAATTTTTCAATTTGAAAATAATAATTTCAAAACAAACTATAAAATGATTTGTTGGGTCTATAAAATTCTTTTCCAGCTCCTGTATCTCTTTGAGTGTCTTTTCTTTCTGTTTAAATTGGAAGATAAAAAAGAAGTGAAACAAAGGATCAAAAGGGAAAGACGACCAAAGCCATCTACCCACTTTTTTCCTCTATCCCATTTTTTAATCTGTGTTTTTTGCTTTCTGTTTCATGCTACTGCAGCTATACTTGTTTCATACTGGTTGCTGATGGCCAATTAATGGGCCATTCAATGGGCCTCTTGCCTCTGCTTTTCATTTTCAGCTGATTCAACAGTTCATAGATACCTTGAGCAACAATAAATGGCTCAGTCGTATTAGCCATATTCCACCTAGATGTACTAGATTCACTACTATCCATAGTGAAACATTAGGGTGATTTCTCCTTCATCTGGTTAAGCTTCTTTCTAAATAAATGAATAAAATATGCAGTTGCATTTAAAAGTTTAGATATTCTTGGTCAAATTACATGTTTCAGTGAATCCCTAATTGAACATAAGCTGACCCAACCTCTACATGGTACAGAGCTAAACATGACTTCTTTCTGCAAATTTGAAAGCATACCTACTATTTATGTGTAGTTGTTTGCAGATTTCAAATCAGAAAATAATGAATATGGCAGTTATAGAAGTTTGGATATCCTTCCAATAATTAAATGCTTTTTTTTTTTTACCGTGAAGCTATTAATCATAAAGGTGACTAGGCCTACAATTAGGCGGGTGAAAATTTCATAGTTGAACAAATATTCTGACTCATATAATCTCCCGAGTTGTGATTCTTCTATCTTCTTTCAACAACTATGGGATCCTCAAAGCAGCTGTCTGAGCATTTGAAAATGAAAATAATTGGTTCAGGGATAAACCAAAGGAAAAAGAAATTTAAAATTCTTCCAGTTTGTAGCACCAACTGTGAGAAACATTGTTAAGAAATGGAACTGCTGAGGTCAAGGAAAGATGTTAGAGACCAAGAAAAAACTCTTCTAGAATTGCCTGTAAACAAGTCAGATATGTTAAGTAGATGTGCCACAGATGAAATGAAAAGTTTAGCTGCAATTGGGTTAATTGTCATCAGTACAGCCTCATTTATACAACAACAGTCTTAATGGAAGAGTTGTTGGAAGGAAATTTGTTTTGGGAACTTGTGACAGCCAGCGGTACAGCAAATATTGTGAAGATGAAAGGAAGAATGGATTCAGCTAATATCAATGTTTCCTAGACAAGGTTACACAGTGTAACAGAAAAGAGGTTGCATGCTTCAAAAAGACGGGTTCTGGAACATGCCATCAAATCAGCCATGAAGTAATTACAGGAAAGATAAAGGTTTTGGAAAGGCCTTACAGATCCAGAGTTCAATACTGATAATCTGCGGGGAGATCTGTACAAGAAGACCTAAGATATTTCTGAGCTAGAAGAATTCTGCAAGAAACAGTGGGGAAAACATCCAAAAGCAAGGTAAAGAATAACTTTACTACTACAGAAAACATTTAGAACCTATTGTTTCTGTCAGAGGTTTACAAATTTGTGATTGAAAGAGTGTCCAAACTTCTTCACCTGCCATATTCTCTGTGCCTTTATTTTGCAGTCTACAACTGCACATAAATAGTAAGTATGCATCAAATTTGCAAGAAGATACTATGTTTAAGTTTGTGACAGCTTTTCATTTAGAGATTCATTAAAACATAAAATTTGATCAAGGGCCTAAACTTTTGCATGCAACTGTATCTAATTACCAGTACAGTTGAGTTTCCTAAATAGTGGGATTTATTGACTTGTTAATATCTCTCTAATGCTAATACCTACTTGATTGCCTCTAAGTCCCAGACTCTGGTAATATCCTATGCATAGTTCGTTCCTATGCAGTATTAGGCATGCTTAAATACAATGTGATAAGTGGTTAGGGAAAGTTACATCTGTATAGCAATGGATTGTACTGCCCATAAAGTTAACTGCCTGGAAGTGGATTTGACACAGTTCATTCCAAGTTTAATTATGACTCTTAGTTCAATATGGCCTTTGCATCTTAGTTACTGACTTTTTTAATATCTAAATTGCATGATGGTATCATATCATTAACTAAATGCTAAATGTATTTTTCTTAAAACAGAATGCAATATCTGATATCTCTCTTTCTCATTATAGCTGTGCGTTCATTATTTGATCATTTGGAACAATCTCATTTGAAAGATTCTACTATTAAACAACTCAAGATAAAATACAGTGTTTGAATCAAAGTAATTTTTGTATCTGTGTATATAAATACAGCAGATTATATACTTTTTCGGAAGAACAGTTCCATATAGATGATTATGACAAAGAGAATTTCAAGTTTGTTCTGTGTTTCTGTTATGAGTTGATCCACCATGTATTGCCTGAATCTTATTTAATTTTTCATTTTGAACATTCTGTAGAAAAAAGATTGACAGCTGTTAAAATATTTAATAAATTCCATTCTTTGTTTATTACTTGTGTGTTAAAATTATATATTTTTGTCCTTACAAATAAATTCACAGATGTTAAATTCTTTCAATCTTCCTTGTTCATTTGCAATACTTCCAATATTTCTTGGCTGATTTTCAGGCCTAGACAAGTGAAAAATCACTTTTTTAAAACTGTCATCTAATGTTTTCCTTATTTTGATTATTTAGTCCTGGTATATTTTAAGAACATTTGCTTGCTGTTAAAATTTCACTAGTCATTGTTTTGATTAAGTCAATCTCTTCTTTTGAGACAGAGTATCATCTACATTTGACTGTAATGTTTTAAATTTATATTCCTTACACAAGGAGCAAGATTTTCCTTCTGAGTACCGTAGAAGTTGCAGAACATACAGTATACAGGAAATGCTCCACAAACTTTCAGCTGATCTCTTCTATGGGAAATGGACAAAGCTTACTTTATGCATTTTCTTTGTATTATAAGTCAAAAGTAATTGAATCTTTAATTACAAAACTTCATGTGTAATCACGTTTTATTACCTTACTCTTCCTTTACTACTTCAAATATCATAACACATTAAGCCTGAAGAGGTGTTTATTTTATATTTTGCTGATGTACATAACTCTTTCCAAACAAAGGATGGATATAAATACTGTATAAGCATGAAGAACACTAGCTGATGTAAGAAGTGCCAATGGTTTTAACAGAGTTCTATATTTATATAGCATCCCATAATACAAATTCTCTGCATAACTTACAAAACAATCTTAAAATGTGTAAGATTATTTCACACACTGTTTTTTCTATTTCATCTGTGGCTGTATTCCTTAACTGGAAACCCTATCAGACCGTATTATTTCTCAAAATGTTCTTTGCAACCTTTCACCCACAACCTTTCAGTCACAACCATATGAGCTGGTACATCATAATTCCAGTTTTCCCCAGTATTAAAGTTATTATCATTTATTATTTTTAAGGAGGAAAGGCTCTCTTAATCAAAGCTGTCATGACTAATTATGGATTATGAATCAGTATTGTTTTTCTAACAGGGTCCCAAAAAGACAGTATTTCAGATAGAAAAAGAGATTCTGTCTAAATGTCACCACTACAACATGATTCAACACCTGATAGCAAATAGTCATATCCCTGTTATGCCCCAATGAGACAAGACTTATCACTGAAGCCATCTTGACCAGTGTTGAACAGCTAGAACTCAGCTGTCCTGAACGTGACCAATATGATTTGCAACACAGCAAATCCATGATGGTCCAATGTATTAATTCCTAAAAGGCTAAATTCAGTTAATTTGATGCACAGTTAACAGTCAAAAGACCTGATACAGTAAGATCTTATTTCTGTTTAAATAATAAACCTAGCAATAATGTTTATCCATTAGCAGAAACACTAGCTGCTGGCAATTATGAAAAACTTTGCGGTTGAATAATTTTGATCTGAACTCAAATTACCTGGTTGATATTTTACATTTCATAAAAATATTTCCTGCTTATGTGTAATACTGTAGGATGAGCTACAGTGGAGGGCATCACTTTTTAAACTATATGGTTAAATGAGATATTTATATATTAAATGTATCTCTGATCTTATGATTTGTGATAATTTAATACACAATAAAACCAAAACAAATAAGAATATAGCCATTCATAAACAAAAATATTTCAATAAAACCAGTGTCCACCATACCAACTATTGGCACTACGAAGATAGGTCACAAAAGCCCTATGAAATAGTTCAGTTCTTATTACTTGGTAGAATGATGTCATGATCTTTGCCAGCATAGCCTCCATGAGGTAAAGGCGATGACAGAAACATTGACCCCAATCTCCCATTGATCTAACCTTTCTTATATTGGGTTGAGATGGCCTCTCTAACTGGATGAATGCACTGGACAGAATGATTATACCTATAGAAAAGGTCCTGTAAGGACCTAGGAATCAAGTCATGCAGGGCTCTAAAAGCCAAAAACAACCAATGGTCTCCAGCTGGAGCCATACTACTTTCTCAACAATCTTCCTTAAAAGGACAGTAGTTGTCTAAAATACCTGGGTCCATGGAAGTTCTCTTCAAGGGGAAGCATACCAGCAGCTCCTTAAAGGCATCAGGAACAATCCCTTCCCCCCTCCAAAAAAAGGGACTACTTTACTTCTACTTCTACTTTACTAACTACTTCTC